ATAACATTTGTTCTCTCCAACAGAAAGTCAGGGTGAAACACTCTGAGACAAAGGCAGAATATTTGATGTACTGTTGTATTTCACATGTATGTACAGAATATGTATTGGGGCTAGAGACAACCTGCAGTGTACAGCGCTTTAATAGATAGGGGTGTTTTTCAGGAAATATAAATATACAATAATCTGTCAACCCACCCAAAGACATAAGGTTTACAGTATGTGTCATGAAGTATGAGCATGTGAGTGAATATATATGGGAATTCCCATCTGGATTCACTCATTGGATTTAGTCAGAACTGTTAACATCTCTTCCTACAAGCCCCATTTCATGTTGTGACTTGTGTCTTCTCAGTTTAACGAGAAACTGTGGATGCAATTCTGAGGTATTGCAACATTTTCAGTGACGTCCTCATGCTCACACACACACACACACACACACACACACACACACAAGTTTATGTTTCTATCCCTGTGGGGACATCTCATTGACAAAATTAATTTTGAGTTCCTTACTCTAACCTTAACAATCACAACTACATGCCTAATCTTAACCCTTAACCCTAACCCTGACCATAACCTAATTGTAACCTGAACTCTAAAACCAAGTATTAACCCTCAAAGCTGTGGGGACCTTAATTTTGTATTCCCCCGAGTCCCAAATTAGTTAGTGCGCATTTAGGTTGAAGTCCCCACCAGTACATAAAAACATGAAACACACACACATTGCCCTTTCTTTGTTATAATAATTAGTAATTTAGCTGACACATTTATCCAAAGCAACTTACATTTGCTATATATGTCTGGAGCAACTAGGCGTTAAGTGTGAATGTGTCACAGTGGGAATCAAACTCAGATCTCCCACAGCATAGACATGTGTCTTATCCATTGCCCCATCATCACGCCATATTTGTTATTGATTAAAATCAAAACACTGCCAAGACTGGCTTAGCATTCTTTTTTCCATTAATCATCTTCTGTCTGATCTAATGATTTCACAGAAGGTTCTTGGCTCATGCAAGTCATGCATGCTCCAACCACCATTTTCAGGCCCAAACAGGCTCTCAATTCCTCCCTTAAGGTAAAGACTCGACCGTTTGATGAAGAGAAAAACAATGATGAACACTATGCACTCCAAATGTGGTTGAAATGTTCCGAATAATTTCATTTCCTGGCTGCTTTGCTTAAATATACTATATGTGACTAGCATGAGCTTTCCTATTCCTAATGGGCAATGACATAACATACATGTTTTTGTTAACATCACAGTACCCTGACGAAGGGAGTGTTCTGCTTATGCTTTCTCTTTCATTCCTAAGATGTCATGCAATCAAAAGCTGATCTGGTCAAATAACTCCTCCAGGGATTGATAAGGCCTGTTTATGGTCTGAGGCGACAGGGAGTTAAGGAGGATTACATGTGACTGGTTATTTAGCCCACCTCCCTTCTTGCAGACACTGAGCCCATTCCACTGATGGTTATTAGTTCAGTGCTGCCACTGATTTTAGAATGAGTGAGGTTGTTGTGCTGCTGGCACAAGCAGGATACTTCTTTTTTTGTAAAACCACATCCTAACAAAGGATTACTTAATGCAATGTTCTGTCTCCTGCATTGTTTGTTTGCATCGGCTTCTCCTTCCCATTCAGGAATGTTGTCTTGCAAGCAAGTAATAATACCTTTTGGGACTGTAAATACCAGAGACGTAGAATGTGATTCTGGTCTAATTGTGGTAAAAGAGTGCAGATATCTAAATGGGAACTGGATAATCAGGGTAATAACAGCTATTTCCCCCTAAATGCATCCTGTGAGCCATGCAGAGAAAATGGCTGATTATCCTCTACAGAGATCCCCTTCCCCTAGATCCATTTAGTGGGACAAACGCTTTCCTTGTCATGTGATCCAGAGCTGTGGAGTGAATCTGTGGGCGAGATCCTCACCCCGATCTCAACCACTACCCAGCCCACCCTCCTCTTCCCCAAAAGCGCACACATATTGAGGTCCCTGTTAATTCTCCAGCACAAATTACTCCTGACACAAGTTCTCAACAGAGAACCAGAGGATCTCCAGTCAGTTGGGACTGACAGAACTTCAAAACAGCTATTAAGAGGTTCATTGCAGAAAACATGCTAGATTTACCACAGGGAAAAAGGAACCTGAAGCTGTAAGTTAAAGGCTAGATCCAGACTTGTTTATGTCTCCACTAAGACATGGAGGATGGCACTGACTGTGATGATGTAGACAGCTACTCACACCCTACACAACTAAGTTGTTTTTGTTTTGCATGACCTTGGAGGATTCCAGCAGTCACTTAAAAATGACTTATTTATATAATGTATCCATAAAGGTGGTAGATAAAATTTTTGGATGTCAAACCGTCTTTGAATGTCATTATCTTAGAAGTAGAAATATTTACTAGTATGAATGTTTTTTACATTTTCTTCACATCACTCGCACAATAAAATATCACAGATCCCGGTCAATCCCATACAGTACAAGAATGCTTTCATGCACGCTCCCATCTGAAATTACAGTTAGAGTATGCAGGGCAGAATGTATGCAATGACAAGTAGTGTGGTGTCTGTGTTTTCTCACCCTGCAGCCTGCTGGTATGGAGAGGTCAGGCTGATTAGATAACTGTTGTGTATGCAGAGGAGCCTGCATGGCTCACATCAGGGTTCCGATCCCTGATACAGAGGGTACACAACCATAAGACTTAAGTCTTCTTGACATCAGGCTCATTGTAAAAAGCTTGCTATGGCAACCTGCAGCGCTTGTAGAAGCAGCAGCCAGTACCTCCTTCAAAATTCACTACACTTTTGCTTTTTATCTGTTTTTTTGTTCTGGCTATTGCCAAAACATGTGTTCCCTCTGACATAAATAGTTGTAAGATGAAGACGGGGTTTTTGGATTAAAGAGCAGCAGACCATGATCCACCCGGCCCAAACAACCGGACCAGGCACCACAGCAGGTGCGGTGATCGCCCGGAAGAGAGGAAATAGAGCCAGGAGAGGAGCCATGCTGGCCCAGCTTAGACTTAATTCTGTTCCTAAAGAGCCGGTCTGGACAAAATGGGACTCATATTGACCAAGCAATGGAATTCAGAGACTGTTGTGCCCACATAGTTACAGAGACGTGCCCCATCAACATCGGCAGGTGGTCCATGTTCCGAGGTGCCAGCACAAAACTCTGGCAACATGAGAAAAGGTAGACTCTGTGTATTACATCGATGATGCTTGGTGCACAAACACAGTCAAGATGGACTCTGTTTCCCGAATGTCAGACTGTTTATTGTGAAGATGAAACTTTTCATACTATCATCTGGTTTACATTCACCCCATGCAAATTCAAAAAATGCAATGTGAAATGTTCGGGGTGTAAGTTATACATGTCTGTATATAAATAACTCTACTGTTATATTTTATTTCATATGTTACCATATTTTAATAAAGGCCTACACTTAATTATATGTTGTGTGTGTAGCATGAAGGAACTACAAAGTTTGTTTCATTATGCAGCCTTGTGCTGTATAATGACAAATAAACAACCTTGTACCTTGTAAAAGGGTACAATTAAGAAACTCCTTAAAGATACATCAGCCACTGTATATGAGAATGGTGCAAGTTCGTTTTCTGAAGAGACGTGGAAATATTCAGGAAGAACTGTATTTATTTCCTTTATTTATTCACTCTTGGTGCAAAATTACAGTTAAAAGTTTATTTAATCAATGTATTTACATATCTTTACTGCATTTAAACTGTGACTTATTTTATTTCCCCCTCTCTGTCCCTGCCATGACCTTTAACCCAGATGACAACAGTTACGAACACCTGGTGGTCAGTTAATGGCTGTATGTGCTGAATACACAAACATAGTGATTAGTCTATGATGTCCTCTTGAAATGAGTCATCGAGATGTCAGCAGTCCTGAACAAGTTCTAGTTTCGTGATGCTCTATGAGCATGTGGCCAAGCCGCAGCTTTTATACCTCAGTGTTAAATTATACTTGTTTGTTGTCATAGCAGCCCTGGTCTTTAACCATGTCCTTGACTCACTCACATGGCCTCAAAACAAAGTTACAGGTGGGTTATGAATAACGTGCCGCTGACTGACCTTCAGGCTATGTCAATAAATTAAGAGCACCATGTGCTTTCTGTTATTCACTCTCACGCTGTGTTGACTCCTTTCTGATATCACTTAAAATTTTTCCACAGCAGGAGAAATATTTCACACATCTGTTTTTTTAGTAAACTGCAAAAGGGACTTACTTAATTTTTTTTTTTTATTTAAATTTGACTTTGATGTTTTTATACATAGGGGTGTGAACATTTAAAAAAAACATTATGCCACATGACTGTTAGAACTGTATTCTTTTGTTGATCACGGGCATCCTGATTTACTGCACCACAGAACTGACTATTCTGGTGCAAAGGATCAGCGTTGTTAGTGATAGATGTTAAACACTGTCCTATGGAGGAAAACAACATTTTAATGGATGATAAAATGGAATTCCTATAAGTTAGGCTGAACATAAAATACACTACACTTCCCTTTTTAGTACCAACTGGTATAGCAGAAGTTGACTTGGTGGTTGTTTCACCACAGTTACATACAAGATAAGTCTTTTTTGTCCATTAGACCATCAGACTTTCCACTTCGACTTCTTTACCTTCTCATTTGCATTCAGGACAAACGTTAAAGAGGAGATGTTTAGCAGTTAAATGGTGGGAAGTCAAGATGTCTCATGAGTAGTCTCATTTTGAGGTTTGGTCCACTATTTCATGATTTAAGTTCATCATTTAAAATATAGCAGTTTCTTCATTTAAAAATGAACAAGATAAGATAAGAAAACCTTTTTCCCACAGTGGGGAAATTGTGGTTTGCAACAGCAAAGACAAGACCAGAGATAGATAAGTGAGAGTTAAAAAAGTAAAAAATAAAGGTTTTCTTATCTTAAAAAAACAATAATAATAAATAAGTAAATCAAAAGGTTTCAGGTGCAATTGATTAATTTAGACAGTACATGTATTTTATTCATTACTGTGGCATGAGTGCAGTTTGTGAACTTATGTGTCAGTGCATTTAATGGTCTATAAAAACAAAAAGGCTACAATGAAATGCTGCCAGAGCAAAAAAGGCACTTCTATGACCTATTTGTAATTCACAATTTAAACAAACAAAACAAAGCCCTGTACAAGCTACAGCTTGATATAACTTTATGTTAATTTAATAGATACTAACGTTAGCACCACAACTTACCACAGAAATGTACAGATATACAGGCACATGTAGCTTTCAATATTATAACTGCCCTGCTGTTCGGTGATCACATTCCCTTCCAGGTCACTGGCAGAGTAATTGTGCTTAATGCAATTACAGTATATTCCACAGGAAAGAGAAATTAGTAAGTACTAATGACAAATCCACAGAAGAACAAAGCGTTATGTGCAGCAATACTGCAGAGCAGAGGCTGTCTATGGCAGATCCAAACATTTGTCCTGAGATCAGATAATACTTCTTTGGCAAGTGCACAGCAAAAAATCCATTCCCATTGCATCAAGGAGGTTTGTTTTTCTAAAGATGGATTTTAATACCTTTCATGCCAAGTGTAGCAACCCCACCTTCACACAGAAGACTCATTGTGGAAGACTTTAGCTTTGAGATTCCTCAGGCTGCACTGCAGGTTGGAGCTGGTTTCTGACTGCAGGGCCTCGGAGAACTTGATGTCATACGAACGGCTGACCTGAGACTTCCTCTTGATGGAGTTCTGGATGGTCTCTGAGGTGAAGTAGTAAACAATGGGATCAAAGCAGCAGTTGGACACAGCTATGCAGAGGGCTATTGGGTAGATCATTCGGACCACCGACTCTGCAAAGCAGCCTTTTAAAGTTTTAGTGCGGACCAGAGCGTAGAAAACCAAGTTTACATTGTAGGGGATGAAGCAAAAACAAAAAATAAAGAGGTGAACAATTATCATGCGCAGGATCTTTGTTTTGTTCAGCTTCCCCCCACGACTGATGGTTTGGGGGCGACGCAGGGTCTGCAGCACCATGATGGAGCAACATACATTGAGCAGAAGCGGGATGATGAAGCCCACTGTCTCTATGAAGATTACCACCTTAGAAAGGTGGGATTTCCACTGATTGGAAGAGAAGTTCTCAAAGCAGAAAGTGGAGTTAGCATTGCTGTTCTCACGTGAGGTGGGCTCCAACATGAACCCTGTGGGGAGACTCCCTGACAGCACCAGCACCCACACAGCAACACACACTATCTTAGCATTGCGCTTGGTCCTAAGCGCCCTTGAGCGGAAAGGGTGCACAATGGCTAAAAAGCGATCCACGCTAATGCAGGTGAGAAAGAGCATGCTACCATACATGTTGGTGTAGAACAGCGAGACGGAGAACTTGCAGAGCATGCTTCCAAAAGGCCAGTTCTGGTTGATGAAGTAGAAGACCCTCAGAGGCAGTGTAAAGACAAATAGCAGGTCAGACACTACCAAGTTTATCATGTAGGTTGTGGTCTCATTCCTCAGCTTCAGAGAGCATGTGAAAATGTAAATAGCTACAACATTCGTGATCAGTCCCACCACAAACACAATGCTAAATATAGTACTGTACAATGGGTATTTGAACCCATCGTTCTTGTTGCAGGTAGAGCTGTCTGCTTGTGGGGTGAAATTTTCAGTCAGGGGGGTATTGTTGTCCATTCTGAGAGACAAAGAGTGGAGGGCTGAGGGCTGTCTGTTATGTACTATTTATTATGAAAGGGCTGTCCTGCACAATGAATTCACCATGTATGCAGAGTAAATCACAGAAAAGTCCTAAACCATGATACATTGAAAGACACTGTCATCTGATAATTCAGGCCATTGGCACAAATGTTGCTTTCCTGCACAGCTGTCCACATATGAGAGGAATGGGGCACATGGTTAACTTGAGTCACTCCACTGTCTTGATGTAGTTATTTTGGGGGTTACCTCATGTTGAAAAGACTCCCTCCAAGAGAACAGAGATTCAGGCCGGAGTGTCCTCCCCTCCCCCTGCCTTGCCTCTCCACCAGACTGCACCCCACAAGTTGCCGGTTGAGCTTTACGTACTCAGACAAATCAGTCACACAAATCTGTTTCCTTTTTGCTCAAGAAGTCCTCAACCACCACGAGCCGCTGAGTCCACAAAAGGAATGATGGTATATCCAAATTCAGGTCAGCTAGAGGGATGCCCTCATGGCAAAATCCGTTCTTTTTGTCAAAACTCAGTCCTGTGTTTTTGTCCTCTTCAGATCCAAAGCAGCAAAGTTGTCATTAGCTTTCAACCTCTCACAAGGTCCTGACCACAAACCACCAGGCTTCTTCTCAGGAGCAGAGCTCACGCTTGAGTTGAGCTCCTTCTGTCCGTCTGTGTGTCACAATGTGAGTGTATTTCACTATTTGTCTTCCAGGTCTGTTTCCTGCCCCCACCCCCTTTCTCTTACTGACTGACTGAGTCACTCAGTATCTACTTCTCTGTCCTCAGTTTGTCTCTCCCTCTGACACCCTCACGAGCGTTTGCTCAGTACGCATCATGCTCAGACAGTTCTGCTTCTCCTTTGTGCCAGTCTCACAGACTGTTTTTCTACTTTGAGTGGAGGGGAAGCTGTAGTAACTCCTCCCACTGCTTTCCATTGAACTCCTCCTACTCCTTTGTCTGCTTTAACTGCCTACAGTAAAAGGAGGAATCAACCCAAACAACTCATTCAAACTACATTTTACAAATGCTTATAATTAATGTTAGCATTATATAAACATATATAGATGCATGGCTACATATTGGACATATACATGCATGGATATATATTTTTAGTTATTGTTACTTAAGCAGTGAGTGAGTGTAACAGTTACAAAAGTGTAATACCATCAGTATTGGTCTTATAAGCCATTTTCCATTTCAAATAAAAATTAAAAATGCGCCAAGAATCTCAGGTTAAATTATTTGTTTACTATGAATACATTTTTAGATAGTAAAACATAATAAGTCCCTAAAACAGCATTATAAGTGGAAACATAACTTGATAATAATCATAATAAAGGCCAGCTCTTTGTGGGCTTTTGGCTAAACTGTGATGTGAAGCTCAAAGGCCTTGTGTGTGTGTGTTTTTTTTGTGGCTTCTCAAACCCAGTACAACCCCTTATAGCATCAGTGGTGGAATGTAACTACATTATACTTCTATTCCACTACATTTAAGTGGGAAATATTTTACTTTTTAAAAACTTTATCACATTTATTTAGCAGCTCTAGCAACTACTTACTATGCAAAATACTATACATTGCTAGAGGCCAACAACAAATATGAATAAATCAAAAAATGATTTTTACACATTTATGCATGGCTAATAATAGCCCAATAATATGATATTTGGTAATAATATCAAAGTTATATTCTTCTTCACAAGGGCTATTTTTACTGTTGATACTTTCATTGTTTTACTTATGTACTTTCACTTAACATTTTGAATAAAGGACTTGTAATGGAGTATTGTTACAGAAAAAAATGTAAGCAATATAGCTCTTTAAGTGGATTGTGGTTTGATTTGTTTCTTCTTCATCATTCAAGCTGCTAATGAAGACAGGAAGTTCTCTAAAATCCTGAAAGTGCCTGAGGTGGTTGCCTCCACAGCAGCGATGGGAGGTTCAAGAAAACTGTTGTTTTGACAGCCTGTGTGAGCAGCAGCTCTTCTAAAGAGTTTTATTTTGCAAGGAACATGGGAAAATGAGACAGAACAGAAAGCTTTCTCTATTCAGTGGTTTTTCAGCTGCCCTTGTCATTCCATGCCCACAGCTTTCTTCTCTCAGCACTCTGTGGATTAGCATTCAAGTTCTCCTGCATTAGAAAGTCCCCACTTGGCAGTCAGTAAAAACATTGGGGGCTTTGCTGTGTGTGAAGTACCTTAGCGGGGAGGAATGTGAAGTTTATAAATAATAAGTCTCAGATAACGCGAAAGTGCTCTCTTCGTGCGCTTCTTGATCAGCAGTGTGGTGAGTGAATACTATATATTGTTTGAGTGTATTTGTGTTGGGTAGCTGAAACTGTGTCATAGGAAGTATACTACCTTTCCTGTCACTAAACAAAGCTGCCAAATCCATGCTTTGTAGTTCAATTCTGAATAAAACCATACAAAGTTAAGACAACTTGTTCAGCTGCTTTTTATTGGTTACAATAATATTTCCCCATTTGAACTGACTCCAGTAATACAAACATATGTGTTCTAGCTTGGTAACACGATACTAATCCATAGATGGTTCATTTTGACTTCACAGAGTTACCAACAATAGCCAAACAAATGAAGGAAAATCTTGCAGAGAATCAAAGAGACAGTGGGTGTTTTATGGCCAGTGTGCCTCTCTTTGTCATTCCACCACAAAATAAACATCATCAAGGCTAGAGTAAAATGTAGAAAAAATCTGAAAAAAACTGTACTATTGTCTTTCACTCGCAAAATAGTTCCATCCAGCACACAAAAACAAGCTCTTCACATGCAAGTATGTGGCTGCTAAACAAAAACATGTGCCTGAAATCCCTGGACTGTTAAATTTCTCACAATGCCAGGAAACTGTCTGGCACCCCCAAGGCCAAGATTGAAGGCTTTCAAATACAAGAGAAAAATGCATGAGAAAGACAGCAGGTGACATAATATTGCTGTGTAATGATCATCAGTGGCAGCGGCAGAAGTATACTCAGCAACATTGACAAATAAAGAGTTGCAACCTGAACGTTTAACACTAAAGGTTTGCGACTCAATATAGACTGATCCTACTTAATGTTACTTATGAATTCATATGCACTTGAAACACAAAGTACAAGAGTTTTGTCAGGTCTAAGAAACAGAACAGGTAACCTTAGCTTGCAGGTTATATTGCACAAATCTAGTGACACACCCAATAAGCCTGGGGCACATTGTGGTCATGTGGTCACCAAAACAGCCGGTTAAATGTGCTGTAAACCCAAGCTCTATGCTAAAAGATGCTAAAAGGCCGCTAAGAGTTGTATTCTCTCTAGGTTGTCATTGGTAAACCTCTTTGATATTACATAGCCATTTGGTCTCAGTTTTACATTAAGTTTATTATGCAGCTAGTGATAATTAGTGAGCTTCAGAGGTGCTGGTAGGTGGATTTTGGAGGCAGGAGTAGCTTTGTATTTCTTGTACAAACATGAAAGTGATGTCAGAATGGTGAGACTGCTGTGTGATTTTCATTTTGCAACATGAACTCTTGAACAAATCTCTAACTTGGACAGACAGCTTCACTGTGACTGAAAGGGCTTTCAGCTAATTCTCTCATGTTCACCTTGGAAACAAATGTTGTGCTGGCTTCCACAAACAGTGAAGTGAAACAGGCACAACAGAAGTGCTGTCTATATACACACCACTGAGGCCAAGGAAGTGTTTCAGGACAGCCACAGCAACAACACATCTCACTGAGTGTAGACCAGAGCCCTGACACAAATCTCACACATCTTTCTGTAGGAATATGTTTCACCAAAGAGACTAAAAGCTTGGTGGGTATCCTGGATCGTTGAAATACACCTGAATGAAGCTGTGAGGAATAAAAGAAAGTCCAGAGAAGGCACAAATGGGAAGATATGTTTCCATCACTGGGACTGTATGTTCCATCTCCAACACATTAAAGAAAACTTTATGAGCTATGTTCAATACAAAGATAGAGAGAACCCTTACCTTGTTACCTTTATGTCTTCTATTGGAACAAAATGTTCAGTTCCACCTATGGTTCAATTTGTCACAAAATTCAAACTAAACAAGACTCCTGGCATTTCAAAAACACAAGATAGTAGTCTGCTGTGGGTTTTTGAACTGCAGTGTACTCCCCCACACTGCCTTATCAACTGAAAGCTTTTGATTGCTTAACAAATACCACAAATAATTCACCTTCCCCCACTAAAGCCACTGACTGCATGTCCAGTCATAAAAAGCTCTGTGTCGACTAGTTTTCAGCCTCAACACCTTCAATAAGACAGACATAAACCACAGGCTGTTTGGGCACATTTGATAGGAAGACTTTTGTATGAGCCAGTAAACCATTATCCATCTTCAACCAAGTCCAGTAGCCCTTTATTTTCCCCTTCCTTGGAAGACCATGACCTGCATGACTGAGAATCTTTACATACATGTCACTAAATGATTTTGAGCTTTTTCAGGCTATAATCACAGTAGGTAAAAGTGTCACAATTTGTGTGTTTGCAACTCCAGAAACTAAAAAGTAATGCACTTAATTTGATAGATACCACTGAGTGAATTGTGAGCAAATATGTACTGCTAATCACTAAATGAATTAGATAACAACTCTCAATCAAGGGCTGTACAGTAGATAAAAGTAGTCCTACCCCAGATCTGATTGTTCATGATTATCAATTATTTTTGATCCTGCATTGCTTATTGCAAAGTATTACCTACAGTATCTGTGTCTGAGATTCAGCATAAATACTGCAGGTATGTAAAGGGTATGTGCCTAAACCAGAAGTCTAAGTTAAAGAGTTAAGCTCTGCTTCATTGAAAACCAACACGAATGGGGCCAGTTTTCTGGCAACAACAGCCCAAACACCATGTTTGGAATTTAAAAACCTCAGCTGTTGTCCTTTTTCTGAATAGAGCTTGGTTTATATGAAATGAACAATGCTTCACTGACCAGAAATGTTTGTTTAATTTTCCCGCTTCATGTTTCATTACATGCTCACATCCTCTTAGGGTAAAACAAGATACGCTGCAAGCTGTAATTGGTATGCAGAGTGGTATTTCAGTTATCGCTGAGCAAGACAAGCCAGCTGACTTTTGTTTACAGGATTCACAGATACTGGAGCAGAAACTGAAAAAAAGTGTACCATTGTTACAGCCACAAACCGGTGTGCTAACAGGATGTGAAGGTATCAGTACCATCATTCTCAAACAGTGGTGAGTACAGGAGTCAACCACACTTGAGCTCTTGAACCAGATGAAGGGCACCTCTCTCACATCAAAACATCAACTTTCCTTGAACTGGACTTTTTTCCTACACTACATTTGTCTGATGGCTTTAGGATCTTTGATTTATTTACCTAATGTATGACCAGCTCATAAAAAATTACAAAATACCCAACATCATGTAAAGTAGTTGAAATTAACTCAGAGCTGCAACATTTCATCGTTTCTCACATGACATTGCTGTGAATTAAATTCATTTAATTTAAATTTTGGATGAAGAACTTATTTTTAGTTGTCACAGTGTGCGGGAGAGTGGGGGTGGGGGGGTTACGTGGCAGAGTGCCAGTTACCGTTGGCAGCTGTGTACTTCCTCATATCCTATGTAAAACCGTTTAACTGGCCTGCCAGCTATGTTGAGTCATTTTGTGTGACAATGTTCATATGTTCAGTCTTAGAATCAGCTTTATTGCCAGGTATGTGTACACATATGAGGAATTTGACTCAGGATTGTACATTGCTCATGATGTGCTTTCTCATACAAAAATACCATAACACAATAATAAAATAATAATAAAATAAAATCAGACACAAACTACAGTATAGACAACACTAATATACACACTATGAACAAAACAATATAGACATATTGACAAATGCAGTGATCAGAGTGCAAAGGATGCGAGAGTAAACTATTATTCTCATTATGTACATGTAGAAGGTGGATATGATATGCAGGTACACGTACACATATATGTGTACCTGTAGGCTTTATCTGTTTAAGAACATATAAACTTGACTGATGTTGTGGATAGGACCAATATGTGTAAAAAAAATGTTGCAGTTTCCCCAACTACTTTGGAACCAATAGAACCTCTATCCTTTTTTTTTTTTTTAACACTTAGGGACTCTAGCCCTAAGGGGACTCTAACCCTTAGGCTATAGGCTACTGTACACCACATTGGCTGTTATGCTAAAAGCCCTTGGCTATGCACATAAATTAACATAATTTATTTTGGGTGTAGCCTTTAACTGTAAACAAGTAACAGAATTATCATCTGTGAACTGCTGATCTCGCATCACAATATACCCAAACATACAGTATATACTGTGAAGCTTATAATGTTTCATTAGGGCCCAAGCATCAACAGCTGTGAGGCCACTATTGAAACTGAAGGAATTTGTATTCTCTTCCTCCCCAATTAATCGTATTTTTGAATGATCTACTGCCTACTGCCAATAGGAAATTACACAATTTATACTTTGATGTACTCCTCCAAGCAAGTTGACCAGATAAATGTCAGATTTGGCGAGAAAAGTGTTAAGGCCTTGATGAAGATATTTTACAAACCTTGTGAGCTTTCGTTGGACCCAAGTCGCAAATGTTGATTTTTTTTGACATGACACAGGTTTTGGACATGACACTACCTACTGGCATCAGAAAGAAAGCCTTGTGTGATAATCTTAATTTGATTTACATTTCATTTTGAGTGTGGTTTACACTTATCAGACACAAGCATCAACCTGTGGCTGCTTGAGGGTTTTGCTTATTTTCTTGCCCATGCAGTGCTTGCTCATGGAGGGAATTGTTGGGTCTCTGTAAATAATATTATAAAGTACTCTCTAAATCGGTTGTATATGAAAAGTGCAATGAGATACGTAACTAACATATTATTTACATATTATTAACATATTACAGATCTGGCACGTCGCACGATCTTTGTTGTTGTATATTTTTATGTTGTCAGTATATATATATTTATATGTACACAATATCCTCTTCCGTTGCGTTACTTCTGCACAGCACAGACCCAGAATAATGCACGTGTATATATCTGCAACGTTGTTCTTCCATTCCATATTTATATATTTCTACGTTTATTTATGTTGACTGTATGTTTGTCTACGTGTAGCACCTTATCACCACAGCAAATTCCTTGTATGTGTAAAACACTACTTGGCAATAAAGCTCCTTCTGATTCTGGATTACCATATTGTATAGTTATTCTGACTGGACACTGTAAAGTTGCACTTGAAATCAAGAGGCATACATGTAGAATAATATCCTCTTGTAGGGAATACTTCTAAAAGAAATATATCTGTTAAATCTCATGAGTCAGTGTCTTACATCCTACGCTTTAAAATCATTGCCTCCACTTCCCATATAAATTACACAGTAGCAATATTACAAGTTGTGTACAAAGTATTACATGTCTACAAGTTTAAATTGATTGCATTTCACTGAGCAGCACATTACTTAATAAACTTATTTTCAAAGGAAATGTACACCCGAGTTCGAAGAACTGTAACATGCAGAATGCAGAGAAGTGTTTAGTTGCATGTGATAGTAAGTGTAAGGTAAGATGCAGGTGTGAAAACCTCAATCTGCCAAATGTACTCGGCAGGCTTTCAGCACAGAAATATATGAAAAGATTTCAAAGTACTGCTCCACCAGTCACAGTGTTATTAGTGCTGAATATGTTCTTCACCATTTTACATTGTGTATACATGTATGTCAAGGCTGTTAATTATTCCATAACAGACCACCAATTACATCAATAACAAATACATCAAATTATGTAGTTATTAATTTTAATAAATTTTTGATTATCAAATGTTACAGCTTACAACATTTTCCATACAAAAATGAGAACACAGGCATTATCAAAATGTTCCATAAAATTCAAATGGCTTGTGAAAGTATTTTGTTACGTTCCATTTAGGTTTTTAGATTTTAATATGGAATTATCTGCTAACTACATTTAAAGACCTTGTGATCCTATATGAAACTTGGGCTATATTCAACAGTCCGTTGGCAATTACTCTAAGCCAGCACTATTTTATTACCACAAGGTGCTACTAGGGGAGAGATATAAAGAAAGTCTTGTAAAAAGAAGCAGGCGTTTGCTGCCAACATATTTACAATTTCAAAAACAATAAGCAACCATATTTTTGTAAACATACCAAATTTCAATGAAAGACAACTGTAAAATCAGCTGCACTTAAAGTGTAAGATCACCAACAGGCTACCACCTTTTTCTATCAGGCTCTGGATTGTGGCCACCGTAATTGTCTACAGCAAAACAGTGCAAATGGTAGTCAAACATCAAACAGTAATGATACATTTTGATGGTAAAGGTGAATAACTGTCATATAAAACATGTGGCAAAATTTAACATGGACTTTTGTAAGAGAACAGATATGACCACTATAAACTATAATTGTTCAGAAAATTTGGTGTAAAACACAAGTTGCAGTTTTCTTAAATAGAACTTGTATGTTTTTCCTTATTAAATACTATTTCTCAATCCAGAAAGTTTGAGTATCAAGGCTTCAACGAAAAGCAGCACAATGTGAAAGGTTAATTCATGGCTGACTTATATTTTTGTTGATCACTTCTTGTCACTACTGATCAGACATAATGTACTACAGTATAATACGCACGTTTATAATTTGTTTTACTAACTGATAAAGGGCAGAGTGATGAAAAAATACTTTTACCTCACACCTATGTTGTTATGAATTATGTTTAGTTTACAGCATTTTCAGGCAACCTGTCTGAGCTAGTTGTTACTGTGAGGCAAGTTCCTGCAACACATCCGTCTCTTGACTAGCTTACAAATCAAGACACCAAATTAGCCAAGCATATTGTCAGTAACACGAGGAAAACAGAAAGAAGACCACCGTGGCACTTCTTTCTATTCTAGTCTGCTTGTGACTGAGTAATGTAACCAAATATTTATTCCCCAAGCAACCACTGTGTTTGGCCTAGGTTGACGGCAGTAACACAGAAGCATCAGTTAGAGGGTGGAACCTTAAACCATTTTCCTCTCCAGTGTTAACATCCCCAGCAACAGGGCTATGGAGTACTCATCAGCCTGATGTTTACTTTGGTCTAGGGTCGACTCTCAGGAGCTTAGTGAGCTTAAACGTCATCGTGTTGAACCCATCACTACAAGGGAACCCTAGTCAGTTTTTGAAGGCTCCATAGCGGCTGGCTTTACTAATGAAGTTCTTGAGCAGGTCGTGGTCCATGTCTGCAAAGGCCTGGGTCTGCGTGACAGCTGTTAGGTGGTTGACGCAAAACTTGAAGCAGAACTCCTCCAGGTCCTAAAAATGAAGAGGGCTGTCTGGTCAGTGCTGAGGAGTACAACTGGCTAGCGACTGAGAAGGTCCCCACCACCATGGTGTTTGACTGTGTGTCAGGGGCTATAAGCTTACCCGCGCCTCATACTTGACAGCAGCAGAGAGCAGAGTGATGGCGTTCTCCTCAGAAATACCTCTCTTGATCGTCTCCTGGCACAACCGCTTCAGCCTCGTCTCTTGGTAGTACGTAGCCAAGTCTAGCAACCCTGCACACATAAGAACAACACATAGGCGAGTGTGCTCTGGACTGCACCGACTTGTCTCAACATTTTCTGGTGCTCTCAGTGTGTAAAGGACTGTGGTCCACTCATAGGCTTACCAATAGCATCCTCTGGTGGCAGGTTAATAGTGTCTGTGTAGAGGTACTCTAGAAAGGCTCGGTACACCAGGTATGAGAACTGGTGAATTTCTATGGCATCCTCATCCGTTTCATTCAAGAGTGCACGAAAATGCTCACACCTGGAGAGGGAAGAAAAGAAGACGACTCCTCGCGTGACATGGTAAAAAGATAACACCGGTGACTGAGCATGTGTTAGCTAATCTATAACAAGTTATATGTACACTACTGCTTTTTTGCAAATCATGCTGTAATGATCCAAAAACAATATTCTACTCTCCAAGAACAGAAACCAAGGTTTGTCTTAATTTCTTGTCAAAAGTCATATTATCATATTAAGGTAATGCAGTGCAATCACACAATTCGAGCAAGTTTCACGATTCTGCTAATTAAATTTCATACTGGATGGAAAGTTTGTCATAAGTATGTTTAGATGTTTTAACTCACTTTGTGTGTAATAATTAGTGTTCACTAAATCACATTTTCTTTCCCCCCAGTTTTATCTGAATCTCACCACCCCACTATTTCCACCAAGAGTGTATAACCCTGAAGTATATTGAAACAGCTATAACTTTTTTTTTAATATACTGTAGTTGTTACTGTTATTTAGTGTCAAAGAGAAAATTATATATATATACATTGTTTTCTTGTGGTTTAACTTAAGATTCACTCTTAATCTCATAATGCAAAGGCAAAGGAGAGGCACTTTGCCAACAACTATAGGCCACAGTATTTTTCCACATTAGTTTCTCATGGCCCTTGCATTTAAATAGTGATTACCATTTTATTTTGTTTGCTTTAAATTTCTCTCACTGCTAATCTCTACTAACTCAAAAACTGCTTCTCTTTCATTTCTTCTCAGGACACGGTTGAAAAAACAACTAAGTTCATCTCAAACATATAATTTGCATGTGATTTTGCCAAAGCAGGCGTTTTGCGCTGTTATTCGTGTGAGCGTGTGCACTAAGCTTGACGTCGCAGACAGTCTGGCTCCTTCCTACTGACGGTGCAAAAGAGCAAGGGACTGGAATGCAGATACTGTGTGTCTAAGTGTGGTTATAAAAAGAAAAGCAGGAAACAATAGGTCTGTCTTTGCTTCCCCATGACATTAACAGGAAAGAAGAGGAAACACAGTATATCATATATCAGATGGAGTTTAAATATAGGCAACACAGCTTTAAGTAGGTACTATATATTCATTATTACAGAAAGATGGCTCAATGTGTTTGCTGTCATGATGGCTGCACAATTAACAAAATTATTTGTTTGTCTTGATTTTTGTTTCTATAATAAACAAAGTGAGTTTCTGTTTCCCTGAAAAACCCAATGTGGTGTACCAAACGCCTTCATTACTCATGACCAAACACAACCTCTGAATGTGAAAAATACACTCATGTGACCAAAGTGAAAGTCAGGACGGAGAAGCAGGCTGGTCTGGGGAGGAAGAAAGAAAAATCACATCATAAAACAAAGTGCAATGGCCTAACATCAGAGAGGAAAACCTGGAGACTATATATATATATACTATATATAAAAATAAAATAAAATATAAAACAATATAAAAGTAATTCATAATTTGGTTCAGGTACCACAGTAATCCACACATCATACAGCTCACAAGAAACACACACCTGCTACTCAAAGTGTCATGTGACTGTATGGGAACTCTTGTTTTGGTTAGCTTTTCTAGACTACTATTTAATTTTCAAGGACACTATATTGATGATATATTGATAATATGAAGAATATGACAAACTAAAAAGGCGAGAATAATCATCAAATTATTTAACTAAAGATTTGTGATTTTTTGCGAAATAATCCTAACAACCAAGTAGCACTAGCACATTTTCACTTTTTTAACCTTCCTCGTTGTCTGTACCTGATTTTCAGCAGGGCTTTGTGAACATGGATACACTTCCCATCAACCAAGAACTTCAGGTCTGAAATCTCTGGGCTGTCAAACTCCTTCTTCAAAGACTGGGCAACAGTCAGGTAGTCATCGGCATCTGGCAAAAAAGAAAAGAAAATTATGTTGTTTTTTTAAAGAAGGAATAACTAACACATTTTTTCTGGGAAATGACACCTGTCTAAATGTGCTAAATGATATGTTAGGCCTATTTTACAGTCTGTATTGAGAGCACACCTATGTACAGGGTACACAAACATTATTTTATTAAAATCCCATAAAATACACTTAAAAATTATATGGGAGCATGGTTATTATTGAAACCAAAATCCAAGGCCACCCTATGATACTTGATAACATATATGTCCCCAATGTAGATGATCTCGCTTTCTTTGCTATGTTAGAATGTAAAACAGGAGAAGCTGAAAATGCGCACAACTAACATACTGCCCTAGAAGGGGTCTTTAATCAGGTAGTTGACAATGTTTTAGATCGTAGCAACCCCAAAAAACACAGGGTCTATATTGTGTCTATGGGATCATGTCTAGGACAGATTATTTCTTGATATTCAATTCTCTCCTGTCACACTCAGCCTCATGTGACATAAGTTCTATTTTAGTATCAGATCATGCAGAGGGACTTTTCTTATGCTGCTGTTTGGCAAAAATCACGAAGATGGCGGTTAAATTCCAGTTTATTACAGGATGAAATTTTTTATTATAAGAACAGATAACAATATTCATGGACACCAATATCCCTTTGGCTCCTTCCCAGGGATAGCCTGGGAAGCACTGAATGCCTTTCTTAGGGGATTTATTATGCCTTCCAGAAAAAGAAAGACAAGGTAGCAGATCTTGTTAACCTTGGAAAAAAAAACGAACGTGGCCGAGAAAAACTAAAATGGCTGATGATAATCTCCGCAAACTTTATCCTCTGAAATATAAATACAACTTTTCATTGTCCCAGAGTTGAATTTTAGTTGTTCAGGGCTCAACAGCGCTTTTCTCAAACTGATAAGGCTAATGGACTCATTCCCCATAGCTGTTTCATGGTACCCAACTAGGGGTACCCCGCCATTTTTGCTTCTTGTTCTAGAAAAGTAAGCTGCCGCCATTCACCTGGATCCTAAAGCATGATGCGTAAGGAGATGCTTTATGCAGATGATATATTGACCTTTATAAGAAGTCCTGAGACTTCCATTCCTGGGTTGTTATCCACTATCAAATTCTTTTCTAGATTCTTGGGATCCAACATAAATTGGTCTAATCGTGAGGCCCTCACCCTAACCACATACTCTTCCAAAAAATTATTCCCACCAGGCACCTTTAGGTGGACGGATCAGGGTATTGGGTATCTTGCGGTCCTATCAATCATCATAAAAGTTAATATAGAAACCTTACTTGAGAAACTAGACTAGAGAGATGGGCACCCATTCATCACTTTCTACGGGCAAAGGCTAATGTACTAAAGATCAATTTAGTCCCAAAGTTCAAACACATCTTGCAATCAATGCTGGTGACAATTGGTGAAGTATTCCCACAGGTGTGGCCTTTTTATCTGGAATGGTAAACAAGCTAGGGTGCCTTCAAAAACTTCAAAATGGGGTGGATTAGAGGTCTTAGGTATACCAAACCTACTTCTGTAACACTATGCCTTCTGTCTATGACACTTGGCACAGTAGGCAACCCTGTGGCTCAGCATGCCCTGATCTTCCCTTGTACCCCAATCACAAACAGGCATAATCGGCTTGCTAGGGCATCGTTCTCTCTGCTGGGCAGGATAGAACGGTATTATTTGAAATAGTAAATATTTCTTCACTGTATTGAACGGCCCTTATAGACAAACCCAAGGCTTAGCCCCATTCCATGTATGTGTACACACACACACACACACACACACTTAAACAATCCACCATTATTTTATTTGTATTTTAATTTTTCTTTTTACCAGTTAATTTCTTAGCCCTCTATTTTAAATTGTATATGTACACAATGTTCTTTTCTCCTTGTTTTAATGTTTGTGTACATTCCTACGTCTTTCTAAAATTCAATAAAATATCAATCACAAAAAACAAACAATTAAAAATGATGCCTTTTGGCCTTACAGATATGACTCTCTCTAGTACACTTTATAAAAAGGCAACTCTAGGGTATCACATTTAATTGGACTCACTATTTGTTCCTCCAGCACTAGAGCTGAACAGGTAATAACATACAGAAACAGACTGCACTTATGGGAGCACTTATGATTTGAAAGGAGTATAAATGAAAAATGTAGATCTCAAAGTGACATATTTATGCTCCTAAATTTGAGTTGACTTAAAATGGTAAAATCGGTAAACATACGATTGTTTGACGTGGACAGGAAACAGTTTCCTGTTTTCTTTCTTAGACCACTTCCAGGAATTTGTACCAACAACACACGCGCCCACCTCATGGTATGATTATCTTCGATTAGTTCAGGGTAAATGGGACAATGTCCAACAGTTCACTATAACTTCCTTTATAATTAAAGGATGTCTGAGTTCTAGGGCTTTGGTTCAGTTTAAAAAAAATCTTATTCTATACATTACAACACTCTTACCTACTGAGAGGAGGTGCCACGTGACTGCTGGTGTGGCGAAGCATGCAAACACATCGTCTGTGCTGCTGAAATGGGTGAGGTGGGGGCTGGCTACAGCTTGACCTCGACATTGACCCCACATCAGAATCTGCCCACTCTGGGTCTTGGCAGCTGATGTGTGGCTGGTGTGACATGCAGCCACCTCCACCATCCTAGTGACAATAACAAAATTCAAACTTTAAAGCATTGCTAATATAGCCTTCTTATGCAGAATGTATGTTAAAATATAAAGATATGATAGAAGCTGATTCCACTGTGAGAAATACTACTTTAATATCGAAGTTCTTATTTACTCTATGATGTTATACCATATGTGCCTTTGAGGCATTTAGCTACTAAAAAATGTATTGCCCAGGATCTTATCATGCCGCCCTCAGTGACGTGGTGGCAGAGAGGTGTTGCTGCTAATTGAGGCCAGGGTAAAAACAAAGTACTAACCTCTCCTTGTCTGTGTTTATTAGAGTGGGGAGAGCTTGGTTACTCTTATTGCCTGTTCCCAACTGCCCATACGAGTTGGCTCCCCAGGCGTAAACAAACCCCTCATCTGTAAGTGCCAATGTATGTGCATAGCCACAAGCAACCTGTATATGGAAGGAAGAGTTTAATTAAGCTGAATATCAACTCAAGTAAATAATCAAAAACAGAGATTGAGGAGATTGATCTCTCTCTATGCTCTTACCTGGACAATGCTGACACCTTGGAGAGCAGCAATCCTGCATGGGGTCTGCTGATTTCCATTATTGCCCAAACCTAGCTGTCCATTGCAATTGTAGCCCCAACCATAGATCTATAAATAGGAGACAAATTCAGACTATGCACACACTATATCAGTTCTATTCTGCATGTTTAGGGCTAAATATCTGTAGCTTTAATTAGCTTTTATCGATATATTATAAATACTGCAAAAGTACGAAAAATCAGCAGCTCATTTGCATTTTTTATTTTTATTTTTTCTTTACTTTCTTTTAGCGGTTATATGCATATTCTGAAATGTCTCCATTGCAAGAAACTCATCTACTGCAAACTGCACTGCCTTCTTGGTGGAGAAAACAGAAAACTTTGAATGCAGGGGACATTAAATTAAAAAAATAAAGTATTTCAAATGATCTGTCCCTTCTGAAGAATCTATATGTCTATAATGTAAATACTATTTAATTCATTAACATCTCATGCTTAGGTACGATACTCATTTGCATTAGCCAGGCCTCTTAAAAAGAATTAAGAGCTACTGACAAAACATTTACCTACTGAGTGCACTGTTTCACTTATCCATGCTAAACATCAGCAGATTGATGTGATCCATTACCTCTCCATTGTCTAGTACAGCCATAGAGCAGAGCTGACCACAGGCTATGTTAACCACAACTTTGTTCTGCAGGCAGCTGCTGACCCGGCGCGGCGTAGGCTGGTTGGCAGTAGACCCTGAACCTACTTGGCCTGAGTTGTTATAACCCCATGCATACACCTAAACAGAGAGATAAATGTTCACTGTCAAAATATATAAACAGATTAAGCAGAAAGAAACTCAAGAAAGGACACAACTGATGATAAGTTACCTCTCCATCAGTTGTGAGGGCAATAGTGTGGTGGGAGCCACAGGCCACCTCTGTCACTCTCTTGTTAAGGAGGTTGGTGGACACCAGGGCAGGGGTCAGTCCGTGGTTGGTGGTCCCATTGCCCAGCTGGCTGTAGCCATTGTGTCCCCAAGCAAACACTTCTCCATCTACACAGCAGCCAGCAAACTTTCATTCATGTTGTCTCAGTGGTTAATATTTTATTAATAGATAAGAAGCAGTTGACTTCACATGATTTAGTAAAGACATCTGGATAAAAGGCACAATCTGTGATCCAGATGTGAACAAAATACCATCCCCATTACCAAAAATCTAAACATAAAATTAAAAATTGCAATCACTGAATTGACAGCTTTTGTAATACAATAACTGACAACAAGTAAATCAATTTTTAATGTTTCCTGATGCTGTTAAAGTTTTGTACCACTAACTGGAGTAAAGCAAACTATATTCTGAAGTCAGATTGGTTGGGAAACAAAATGCTTATTTTTCACTTATGTTACAATAACATTGTGCATGTGAATTTAACTCTTATTTTCTTTGATCAAGCACCGATTAGACCAATAAGGTTACAATAATTATCTACTGTTTGATGCAACATTATGGGACTAGTTTATCCACAAATAACATGGCCACTTTTGTACTAAAACACAGTGAACTGTTAAATATCAGCATACAAACATGTCACTTGAAATAGTCCAAATGGCTGAAAGCCTTATTAATTGACATAACTTTTAGTGCATATAGATCATAACCATCTGAATACAAGTTATTAGGCTCTTTTGCACTGTTTTGTTTTTAATTAAGTGATTTTTTTATAGCGTACAGACAGCAATGACCCAGCATCATCATAAAACCAGATTCATATGCATGTATTTGTTGTTGATGTCATTCCTGTGCCTTCTGAGGAAATTTTGCCTCTGGGACAAATAAAAGTTTTCTGAACTGGATTACCTGCAGTGGCTATAACCACATGCGGTCCTGTTCCATAGCTTAGGGACACAATCTTCTTTCCACACAAGACATCAATCCTGCGTGGCTCAATAGTGCTTTGAAGGTCTCCGAGCCCTAAACAGCCGCTGCAGTTGGTGCCCAGAGCAAAGACCTGGAAAGCCCAAACATCATTGATGAAATGGTGCTGATATTAATACAGTAAATGATAAGTAAATGCGACACTCTAATGTTTACTAATACAAACACAAAATATTTGGTGAGATAACATACTGTGAGGAGAATAAATATAATCAATTCAAGAGTGAAGTTTTTTTTTTAGTCTGTGAAAAAAATAGGTTTGTGTTTTTACACCAATATAAAACTAGGCCTGCAACTAATATATTGTCATTTTTGTTAATCTACCTATTATTTTCTTAATCAAATGTCAGAAAATCTGAAAAAAATGGCCCTGACAATTTCCAAGATATTTTGACAATCAATTTTGTTTCAAGTGACTACATTATTAATTCAGTGCTATTGACACTCAAATGAAACTACACAATCAAAGTGTAATCTTATGTGAGATTATTTTTTCAGAAATACTTTCCCAGAATGTTTGTGGGCTTTATGAAAAAATATAAACTTCAGTAATAACTGTGTATGCAGGCACCATTTCAAGTGAAATCCACCAAAATACATTTTCTATGCCACAAGTGACTGCTCCAAAACACAAACTGTTTTGCCCACAGGGATAAAACACATGAGTAAGGGTGGTAAGATGAGGCACGCTCTACACCTTTCAACAGGATAAAAATGGAGCTTGTGCAGGTATTAGGCCTATACAGCTAAAGATAGCCTCATTCTATCTGCTTATCCCAGTGTCTGGAACTGCAACTTGTATCAACCAGCCTGCAGCATTTTTCTATCTACTAAATAGAAAATAACCAAACTAATATTACAAAAGGAGAGTCTATCAAGTCTTGCAACACTTCATAATGTAAACAAGAAGATTAAAGCACCCTTGCCTAAAGCCTAAGTGTTACCTCATCACTAACTGTGACATAGAGGGCTTCATTTGCAGCACTGCCAAAGACACATGCTTGCCGGATAAGCCGTAGTTCCTCAGGAGGAAGGAGTGCAAACACTGGCCACTTCCCGACGTCCAGCATACTATGCAGCTGTGAAATGAGGAGAAAACACAAATACACAGATGTGAATATGAATTTTCCAGAGATTTTGACTTAAAAAAGACTTAAAATAAAATGTACTGTGCAAATTCAGGAAATATGGGAAATTGCCTTGAATCAAAACTTAAGACTTATTTCACATGTACACATTTCCTTTCCATTCCTGCTCTGGTTAATACTCACTTCTTATAGTATTGTTATCAAAGAATTGCAAAAAATCAGACCAAAAGACTGCTCTGTAACTTGGAAAGTAAACAGTGTTGAGTCTGTAAAAAAAACTGAGAGGATAAATTACCCACAAGGTTTTCCATGTCTCAAAAGTGCCCCGCATAGACACCAAGTGGGCAAGTGAGCCCAGCTATGTAGACAGATTAAAACACTAGACTGTATATAAAAAACATGTATGACTGCAGTAAACCCATTACCATGTATTTACTGACAGAATGAGTGATAGCCAATAAAGCTAATTTGTACTGAATTGAGTGAATCCAGGTTGTCATGTCAACACATTGCCAGTACAATGGCCAAACCATATGTCAAGGATGCCTCTTCTTTTTAATTTACATAATTTAATGAATACTTAATGAAGATTATTTACCATTTGACTCTTTTTTCCAAGATCAATATTTGCATAGAAAAGATCTACTCCTTGAGTGTGTATTTCAGACTAGGTAAACGGCAGATAAAGGGAATAATATTTAATATGACTGACATTAAGCAGAAACTGTCAACTGAATTATAAGCAGTAGATGTGCAAATTAGACTCAAATGTATATCACAAGAAATAAATTTGTGATAAAAACGCTTTAAAATAGCTTATTTTACATAAGTTAGGGTACTATCTGGCCTAACTAAGTTAACGTTACAGTGATGGTTTCACAGTGAGCAATTACATGAAGATGCACTCATGAACCCAGCCCTTGTCAACCCTACCCCTCCCCTACTAGCCTACACACCGCTTTTATGAGATGTCCAACACTTCAAACGAACTAATTCCATAGATAGTATAAATAAACATCGCAAAAACAGGGTACGTTGCGTTGGAAGACATAACGTTAAGGTTAAAAGCTAGCTAGCATCATAAAAGTTGCCGATGTAGCGTCTCGCATTAGCAGTAGCGTAACCATCAAACTATCTAACAAAAACCTATCTAATTAGCGTAAAGTGTCGCTGCTGCAGGGAGCCGCTGATGGTTCAAACTGTTGACGTTACCTTGCTGTTGCTCTAGCTAGTGTTTCGCCCGCGATGTCGGAACACTGAAAAATTGTCAGCCAACATATTTGGCGAATCAAGTTGCTGATATAATCATCTCGATAGTCTGGGTCTAGCTTCACATAACTTGCCGTGGTTGCATCTTGTTGTAGTTAGCTTTGATCGCTGCACCACCTACTGAAAAAAACAACACACCACCACCACCTTACTTCCTGTAGTTAGATGATGCGTTCACAAAACGTCGGAGCTGGGAGCGTCTACTGTTTAGCATTGGCAAAAAAATATAAAATCCTTTACATATGTTTTTTATTTTCCCAGATGCATCTATACAGGTGGATACTTTCATGACAGTTCCTCTATACTTTCCTGACTGTTTCTCTATTTTAATATGACTATCTGTATTCCCCTATTGACTCTTCTTTCTGGAAACTCCAGAGAAAACAACAAAAACAAACGTTATGAGGGAGGATAAGACACGTGCAAAAACCAACTGTCACGACTCTCAAGGGATCATCAGGAAATGGAGCTTTGTTCACCTTTTTTTGAATCAGTTTTGTGGAAGAGCAACTCCTTTTCACTTCAAATGTCATAACTACTGTGGCAGAAATAGGCCGGTAAATCCACCAGATGGAGCCATTGATAGTCTAGTCTTAGTGACACATTGCACTTGTTTGTACCAAAGCCTTACAGATCCTTTTTTGACATGCTTTATTTTATTGGAAGGTAAAATCATATTCCAATTTCACGTGCACACCTTTCATACAAATGGTAGCTCCACACACACACACACATACATTATATATATATATGCGTAAATGTGCACACACTTAAATTAGATAGATAGATAGACGATGCTGTTAAGGTGGACCGTACTGTTTCAATGAGAAGCAGGCTGCGGTTCAGCGTTTTATACAGCTCGGCAGAGGAAGACCTGACAGGGTCACGTCAAAGTGAAACAACAGCTGAGTTCTTGTTTCATACTGTCTATGATTTCACTACACCGCACATATATTTGCAATTGACTTGGTGGACAAACCGATCACAGACACGTCAACCTTATTAAGTTCTTCCTTAAAATCATGAAAATGTAGATAGGCAGATGACGATCATTATAACTGTACAGGATACCGACCACGTCCACGGTACTGGCAACATTAAAACAATGTGACAACATAATAAATGTTTCTCTAGCTATCTTGGAATTTGGGATTCGTCATGATTTGCTGTAGTACGCATGCGCACACTCTGTAAGCGATGGCGAAATTCCTGACTTTTACGCAAGGAGCAGGGTTGGATGTAAAGTTATCTCGGTAAAACAGGCGATTTGGCAAACATTATCGATACTTAGCATCGTTACTGTCGCTCGCAAGTTAGTTTGATCTGTTTTAGGTGTAGCTAATACGAAAGATCGTCGTTCATATTACGAGAAATACACATCTTCATCTTGCTAACTAGTAGCTAGGTAGCATTAGGTAGCTAACGCTAGCATGTCACATTTTGCCTTGTCTTTTGTTTATCTAGGTAGCTAGCAAGTGGTCTGTCTCAGGTGTTGCAGAAAGTAGCTGGCCATCGGAGCTCGCTGACGTTAACCATTTTGGCAAGAGCTGCATTGGATTCATCACTGTGCATCGGCGCGTCCGTCAAGGCTGCTGCTGTCTACTGACTGAGTGAGTAACGTAAGCTGCTATTGGTAATAACTCACTTGTGCTGACAGCTTACGATGTAACGTTATTAACTGTGTCTCCTAAGGCAACTCGAATTAAACTCTAAGGTTTGTTAATTAGCTGGCTACAATGTTATGTTGCAGCTACATAACGAATAGCTATGACATAACGCTAAGCACACACACATACACACACACTTGTAGCTAGAGTAAACAGTTGTCTTGGTGCAGCTAACCTTGTTAACTTAGCCATGGCAATGAAGAACATTACCTCTGATCGTTGATTTGTGTATTAGCAGAGTGACATTAATAGTGTGACATGTCATTTTGATAGTCCATAGACATGGTAACAATAATGTAAAGTAAAGCAGATATTTAGTTAGCTAAGTGGCTAACAGTAATGCTAAGTCAAATACATGCACTAAATGGATAACCAGCTGTTACACCGTGTGACTCTGGCTAGCATAGGAAAACATTTCTCCAGCTGTTCCAGCAAAACCGACACATTAGTGTTGGTTTAAGTCTGGATACATTTTAGTCGACCAAAATGTTCAAATGATTATACATGTGAAGCCTTATTTTTGTCCCCCACATCATCATGATTTTGATACTTAATGAGCAAGAAGAAGTCTTCGCTTGACTTAGCGTCATTTTTATTCTACCCCTTCAAGGTGTTTTCCCCATCTCACCAAAACTGAAAAACAGCTGTTGTGTCCTTATTGACTGCTCTCTTAGCCACAATCAAATATGATGTACAGTCAGGGCAACAACAGCTGTTACCACAATTTCAATATAGAAGTAATGTTTATTGTGCTGCTACAGGAAACACTATATTGGTATTGGTGTAATGCAACTGTGACTGGAGTTGTTGTTTTTCACTGATATTTAATAGGAGTCTGTGGTGATTTCTAATTATTTGTTGCATCCACAGGTAACTGCAAGTATTTAAATAACTGGAGCATTAAAAAAAACTTTGCTAATCACCCATTCACCCTAATCAATATTATGTCATATTTGGAAAATTTATAATTAGCAGTCAAATCTGCATTTCCTGTGTGAGAATAGAACACCACTTCTGGCTTCATCAAGTGTGTGAAACGTAGGCTTTCAGGGACAAAATGTAAAGAATGGATGTGCCTAACTGTGATCAGGGATCCCCCTTTGTTACTTCTCCTTTTACAGACCCCTGGGTAACAGTTGTGAGTGTGTTCTAGGCAAATAATTTTTAATTTGGACGCAGATCTATCTGATATTGTATTGTGTTATAGAGTAATATGTCAAGTGATTGCAGTGGTTGACTCAGAGGCCTAATGACCACAGAAGGAGCCTGGCATCATGCTGATAGTGATACTAGGCTAATCTCATGTTGATCCTCTGCTGTAGCAATAGTTCCCTAAAACCCAGTTTATTGACCATCACACTGTAAACTGACTTTGTTGTTTAAGCTTAAGAAGGGGAGGGGCTAAAGCTAACAGATAAGCCAGATCACTGTGAGGTTTAGGGGCGCATGCGCTAGATTGTAATTAGGTTCAAGGACACATGTTACATTTCTCTCATGGTGTTCTGCAGTGTTTTTGACTTCATGTAATCATTTTGCAAGTTTTCTCAAGTGGTCAGTCCTCAGTGCAGCAACCTACTAGTAACCATTTTTCAATCTCAATTTTTTATTGTTAGTACAGTTTTTATTACCTCAACAAAGACACACATTGAGAGAGAACATTTGCCACTGTTTAGTGATAAATCCTTCCTCTTTAGTAGAATACTTCAGAAAAGGTTTTATTTTTAGCTCAAAAAGCTCTCTTAGCTCAAAAAGCTCTCTTAGCTCACTGCTTGCCATTTGATTTTATGATTTGTGAATGAATGTAACACAGACAAATACCAAACCGATATAATAGACCACATGGGCTACCAGAATGGCACAAACCAGAATTTACAATGACTTTTATCTACATGACATGTTTATATCCTGTAAAAGACAATGCATCTGATCAACCCTCTCTTTGGTCTCTGATCAGGCCTGTTTAGTTTGGATGGAACAGCTGGCCTAACCTGGCCGCTCAGTGATTCCATCAGAAAATGTCTTTCAGAGTCAGCAAGTGGGTGGCAGTGCCAGAAAATGCTGCTAGTGCATGACTGGCAGTGGAAAACAATGTATGTGTTAGGAAATTAATTATGGTGTGTGTCAAATTCCCACTCAGTGCGATTCAGCTTGTCACTATGGCTTTACTGGAAATGGTTGTGAATTTAGAGGTTATTTTAAGTTACTAAATATAGGCCTTAAAATTATCATAAAATGGGTGTGTGTGTCCTACAACAGTTGTGTGAAAATAATATTTACGTTTGAAGTATTTGTCACTCTGTTTTATTGTTTGTAAAATAAACAAGAAACACTTACAACATCTCTGATCTTGATTTTACATAGTGATCAATATCCATTATATGTCCAATATACATTCATACATCAATTTTCATAACTTGCTTAAATCTTAAAGGTAGGAAAAATAGGAGTCCCCAGAATGTTTGAAGTATATGCTCTATTATACAGAATACCTGCAGAAAAACATTTTTAATAAACATACTTTTAAGAGAAGGGGGATAGAGAAGCCACATCCTGTGAACACTCTGGGTAAATTCTCAGCACAGGTTTAATGACTGGCTGGAAGACAAGAGACGATGACACCACAAAACGTTGTGGTGTACTTTGTGCATTTCCATTGATTGCTGTGTCTTTGTTGCAGGAGTACCTTTTCAGTGGTGTGAATGAGGGAGACATGGCAGACCACACCCCACCTCTGGAGTCCGGCCAGCTTCTCAGCCCTGAACTCCCAATCCTGGCCTCACCACCACCCTCAGCCATGGTCAATGGGGATGGCCCCCAGCAGGTACACTCGAACCTCTGTGCCCTCATGTCTCTGTGCTATTAGTCACACTTGCTGCATTAAGTCTGCTAGGCCCAAATTGACTTTTCTCAATCTGCCTTGTAATTACAGTTTAAATGTGGTGCCTCTGGCCTATTTTGTCTGTTGTTGGCCTTAAGTCTTCAGTAGAACTGTTGTGTGTTTGACTCCATGTAGCTGAAAAAGCAAATCCATTATCACAAATAGCTTTTTTTGTGCTAGAAAAATGAATTTGATAATAACATTGGACTGATTTGCCAACCCAGGGATATTGATGCTTTAAAATGAACTATATTCATGGACGTAATCAGTGAAATTGAGAATTTTTTGCAGGCACACTTTAAGCACTTGAGCACTTACTGAAGTATTAATACTTAAGGCAGTGACATAGCATTTGGTTTGACCAGCGCAGCAGGGAAACACTTATGTGGTTTTCAGCCTGATATATAGCCCAGCAGATGCTAGAGCCAGGGTTGTGTGTGACATGAATATAATGCCTGGAGAAAAATCACTGTGTGAATTGGCGTTATTTTATATAAGGTAATTGTATTTTATATTTACCTCTTGTCTTAACTTAATACTGTAAGTTGCATTTTAACAATAGTGATTTTTTTCACACACTATTGT